ACTTTATTTATTTTGTTCACATATTGTTTGTCTTGAATTGCACCCCCTCTCTAATGATTGTAAGCCGCCCTGAGTCCCCTCAGGGAAAAGGGCAGCCTATAAATCCAAATAAAATACCAAATACCAAATAATATTGTTCATAGTTTTTTTTTCTTCATTCACTAATTATGTGATCCGTGGCTTCATCTTTTTCTTTACAAGGTCTGCATGTAATATTAGAATTTGGATTTTTCTTTTTATTATTACTACTACAACTTTCTGCAGAGAAATTAATGTTCATGGTCAGACTGTTAAATCAGTTGAGGATTTCAGAGGGTATAAAATGCTGCAGAAAAAATATAGAAAATGGAACAAATTTCTTGCTTCCTTTGACCTACAGAGTTCATAGAAACTGGAGTTCTTTCTGAAATAACTAGCTTTAGAAAGGGATTAACGTTGGATCAAGTTTTCTAATTTCAATATGAAAATACTTGAAAAGCTCCTGGTGCTTAAACATGTTAAATATTTGCTATTGCAGACTATCCTTGACTTGGAAGTACATGTTTCAGTAAAGTCCATTATTAAATATTTACAAGTGACAGATTTAGGCCACATATTGTGATGTGATGGGTTTCACTGTCTTTATAGGTGTAGATTTATAGGTATAGTGGCAAAATCACTACAAAGACTCACCCAATTGATATCATATTGAATAATATGAGTTGTATATCAGGTTTAAACAATTTAATGAGGTTGGCCTTTCAATGTCCTTTTAAATTGTTGGCATTTTTAAATCAATGATAATGTGACAGTTTCTACTTTTGACCCTTTACTTTCTACACCATTATAATATATGCCTTTGTCATTAATAAATCATTCTGCAATTTCCTTATTATCACACCAATATGTTAAAAGCAAACATTTTAAAAAAATATTTTGCATTATATTAACATAGCCTAAGAGTGGATAATCTTTATTTACAAAGCTGCATAATTGAAGATGAAAAGACATAAGGAGACTTTGGTTCTAGACACTGGAGGAAAGTCCTTATCAGGACACTTTTGAGTCAGATTTCAGACCAGGTTATAGTAATGAGGTGGTATTGATCACATGGGCTTTGGATGCAAGTTGCATCCACTTTTGATTCCATTGATCATTGTGGATGCGAAGGAAGGTTTAAGGGGTTCAAGTAGGGGACTAAGATTTGCAGTTGTTCTTTTGAGATGGGTTCTAGTCAGTGTTGATGGAAGACCTTGCATTACAGAGTGCTTCAGTGCTCTGTCCACCTCTGTTTAACGTTCATATGAAATCACTTGACTTAAGTCTTCTATTGGCATGAAATTAAGTGTCATCAGAACATTGATGTTATTTAGTTTACATTCCTGCCCTGAACAGTCCAGATAATACTATCAAGATTCCCCCCCCCCCAAAAAAAATTAGAGACTGTAGGGGTATAGATGGGGGGAGTGGATAGTATAGTTTTTGGCTTAATTCTAAAAAGACTGAGTGCCTGTGGATTTATAGGTCGCTTGGATCCAGAGATTTCCTAACTTTGATTCTAGAAATTGTAACATTTACCCAGTTAAGGTTGGTGTGCAAAATCAAAAGACTCTGCTTATGATCATCATGCCTTAGTTACTACATATTTGAACTATTGCAATGTATTTTAAATAAAGTTGTCCTTCAGAACATTCAGAAGATTAAATGATCCAGAATGTAACAGCAGATACAGTTTTGTGTATAGCATAGTGCATTTCTATCTAATGCAATTTATATTCAAATAAATAGTTGTGAATGTCAACTTCTACCACCCATGGCTAGCACAGCTAGTTTCAAAGGCCAATAGGAGGACCCAAATTATCTAGAGGGTAAAGAATTGCCTACCCCTAAACTCACTTGGAGTTCACCTTGATTGATATATAGTGTTCTTGTAGGGAGGATAACATTTTAGTGATTGATAAAAAGAAAGAGATCTTTACTTACATTGAACATATTGTAGTTCTCTGTGCGGTCCAGCAACTTATCTAGAGGATAAAGAGCTCGGCTAGCAGCATGCCAAGGTAGAAATTCCTTTTCCTTTGACAGGTATCTAATAATCTCAAGTGGAATATTCTGGGGCAAATAGCCAGCCCTGAATAAAGATAATTGTTATAATTATTGCTTGGGGAAAAATGCCTGATGATATAGACTCACTTTGTCTGTCTGTCTGTCTGTCTGTCTGTCTCTCTGTCTGTCTATTATCTATCTATCTATCATTTATTTAAAAAGTAGAATCATTTTTCATGTTATTTTCATGTTAGTAATGTTAATATTATTTTTAACATTTTCTATTTGGTAAGCGTCCATTCTCCAAAATAGCTTCGCTGTATTTATTATGTTATGTGAGAAAAGGAAATAGTATGTATTTAGTTATTATCCACAATTTCCTAATTATGTATGAAAACTTGCTTGAAGTTCAATCTTGCTCTATGATTTTCTGTAATAATCATATAAATACCTTTTTAAAATAACTCATGTTAGGCATTGCTCGAAATAATAGACTAATATATTTAAAATGCATTAGGTAGCACCACTAAAAATATCAGGAAAGTTTTGGGTCATCTTCTGTATCAGAAGAAAAAGAACTTTTTAAAATTTGTATTATTAAAACAAATACTGAGAAAAATAAATTCTTAAAACTATAATATGATGACCAATTTTCCAAGCTGGTCATTTGGAAAATGTTTATATTATTAAAAATGATTGTCCTTAATAATAGATTTAAAAGAGTCAATTACAGTTGCATATTCAATTTTAAAGTGACATTTATGTCTTTTGCAATCGCATTCTCAGCTTGGTTTGCTTACATACACTCAGACATAGCTTCCAGAACATTGATTTAGCCCTACTCAGACAAAGTACCAAGTACTAGTGCAATTGCCCAGGGACAGTCTGAATTTAATCCATTCTGAATTATTTCCTCATAAATCTAACAGCAGAAGATCTGAAAAGCAAAACACTTGGGGAGAAAGTGGAGTGCAGTCTTTGTCTATGCTACCAAGTACACATTCCGTCCATCTGGCTGAACAGTAATGTACATTTTCAGTGATACAGGCTTTTGGATTTTCATGTGATTCAGAAGTTTCCACATTTGAATTACTATACATATATTTACATGTTTTTCCTATAGCTACATTGATAATTCTTTAAAACAGAATTGGTTTGGAATATTTGTCTGGTGTGCAAAATGATGGAAAAATAAGTTGACTTTTAACAGATTGGAGGTGAGATATCCAAGTGTTCATCTCTATGAAAACAGGTTGGAGTAACAAAGTTTTCACAGTTTGATTACTTCAGTAAAAAAAATCCTGTTGTCTTCAAACAGCTGTATTCAGAAAAATTAACTTCCTTCCTTGCCCTGCTTTGCTTTGCCTTATCTTCATCTAGTTGCTTTCTTCCTTCTTCCCTCTTTCCTTTCCAATGCAAACACATTTCCTCCAACTACTTTTTCTTTTTTTTTTGCTCTTGCTGGAAGAAGAGAGATGAGTATATAGTCTCTGAGTGTGCATTCTTGGGTCTTCATATGTGACAATGATTTATTTGTGACAGAATAAATAATTGGATTATACTGATGGCAGAGATCCAATCTTGGGATATGGTACTATTAAATACAGGGACATTATGTACTTTTCTAAAACTTGGAAGTAGAGAATGATATATTACAATGTTGTTGAGTTAGCATTACTACAAGCAAAGCTTGAGGCAAAAGATATAGGTCATTTAAGGCCCAGTAGATTGTATTGCCTAATATATAAAAAAAAGAATTTGCATTCCTAAGGATTAAAAGTGAAGCAATATTGTTCTATGTGTTATTGTCTATTTGTTCTCTACAATCTTGATCTTGCAAGTGCTTTAATAAAAAAAATGACCCTGAAGAGGAGTGGTTGGAGCAACCAATTATGAATAAAGATGGGTTGTATAAACAAATGTTTAATATAATAAATAAATGAAGTTAAAATATGTTGCTGATAGCAGTGACAATTCATATGCTTTTATTCAGCAAATAAAATCATTAGCATGCAAGGAAAACAGATTCTTACCCTACTACCTGCTCCTCATCAACCCCGAAGATAAATTGTTCTGAAGCAATTAAACTCTTTTTTATAGTAGCTTTATATTTCTCTATCTCTTTCTTTCGCTATCATATTTATAGCCCACCAGAATTTAAAAGAAAGGCCCTGACACTTTCACAGTATAAATAATATAGTTAAAATATTTGCCGTACAAACTAAAAACTCGAAAAACCCATAGCCAAAAAGAAAAGACGAAAGCAATAAGCAATGTAAGCAAAACCACAATAATATCATAGGTATAAAAGCAAACATAATGCATTTTTCATATGACATACCAGGTCCATTCAACAAATATTTCTAAAGTTTAATTTAATAGAAAATTTATCTACAAAGCTAAAATTCCTATATTTGTCCATATCCTGAAAAGGATTTTTTAAAAGTATGATATCGTGATTTTTGCAACTTCTGAGATGACATTTGGATAAACTGGAGCTTTGCCTCCTGTTTTTTAGCATGGAAAAAACATAGGCCCATGAATCTCAAATAACTTTTTGTTTTTTTATTTTTAATCAGGAACAATATTCAAGTGTGAAGAGGTAAGTTAAATGCCTTATGTTACACCTATCCTCCACGAGCTGCACTGACTTCCAATCGGTCTCTGGATACGCTTCAAGGTGCTAGTTATTACTTATAAAGCCCTTCATGGTATTGGACCTGGGTACTTGAGA